TAAGGTTTAGGAAAAATGACTTTTTTGATTCAGTGTGATTTGGTGTATTCACAGCACAAACCCAGCGTGACCAAAAAAGGAGAGAGAACTGCACGAGAGCATTAAGGTACCAGTTCTGCCAGAGAACACAGATAAAATGCAGCGTGCTCGAGCAGCAAGAAAAACACACCAGCCCTGCCAAGACATGAAAGCTCCAATCAAAACCGTCTCTGCGGATGGGTTTCGAAGCTACCAGTCAATCCATTTATTATTGAAACTTTTGTGAGGATGCAAGGGTACAAAGCCGCAGTCTGCTCCAGGAATCCATTTTGGGAGACGGAGCCTTCGAGCCGAGACGGCCGGTGGCCTTCACGGGTCAAATTTTACATAACAGTCTTTTCCTGGGAAAACTAAAGACTCTGTTGGCAGAAAAAGTTTGGAGTGATACTTGTTCACATTCCTTAAAGATTCTGCTTTCATAAACGTTCTTCTTGTAATGTTAAACTGAACCATCAAAAAGATTTTGTGCACATGACGCGAGCATTTACAGCTTGTCTTACTGTAATCATGGCTTCTATTAATACTTAACTAATGCTGGCATAGCACACTGGAGCAAAATGTCAGCATAGGTGGTGGGTTTCATCTTGTAGTATTCTCCTGATGTCACATTAACCTGATCCCCTCATGGGAACCAGCCGAAGCTTGAACGGTGAGCAAACCGAGAAGAATGCAGGTGGCTCTCTAAGTAAGTCTTTGCTATTAGAGCAAACACGCTCTTTGCTTGATAAACACTCAGCGCAGGTAGGCCGTTAATCAGTCACTTATAAAACAGGACGCATTCGTGAGAGTTGTTGTGAGGGCACTTTGTTAAATATTCACTCAAGCTGTTTATTCACTCTTACTGTGTAAATCCACCGGCGAACCTAACGAGGTGAAACATGCTCAGATTTGGGTCATGCATTATAAACACTGCTGCACATGAAGCACACTTAGATTAGACATAGTCTATTAGAAACATCGTTTCAAACACGATGATAAACTTTCACATTTTAACGATTCCCATAGCAACGGCATTTAGTAAGAGTCACTTGACTCTCGTTGCTAAAGTCTAGCGGCAGCATCGGTAAACCAACACCAACTAATGAAGCACTAGATCTTTCTAGATCTGGTTATCATCTTTACCCTCTCTTAAGGAAGATATTAAGTTCTGAGTGTGCTATGAATAGAAACAGCAACATATGGATGAAGCACATTCAAACGTGGGAAAGAGACATGGGCTCGGCCATTTGTCTAAAATCCTCTGAATGCCAGCTGAAGTCAGCGCGGAGCAAAAAATGGGCGACTGAGAGAGAACTTAGAAAGTCATCTTAAAGCACACATCAAACGTCTGTTTGGTTTCCATAACATGTTTTCATAGCTGTTCAGAGAACAGTGTTTTTGTGCTAACTTGCAGCTCTTCTCCAACCATTAGAGTTCTGGAATTTATTGGGAATTGGACTGGTACTGATATGGTGCACTGGAGCACTCCAAGTCCTTTTCTACTGCAAACCTCATTCACCCAGTTTCATACATATTCATGCAAACACTGTTTTCTATACCTAAGAGCTTTGTCTGACAATTGTGCCCACACACACTGGATTGGAGTAGCTGTAAACTAAACATCGACCTTCCGACGGGTAAGTGACCAACTCTACTTCTTGAGCCACTGTTGATCCCAGCTGTATGCCAGCTGTATGGGTGGCGACTTGCAGAACAATCACAAAAATCTGGCAGGCACAAAGGCTCCTCCCTCCATTCTGTCCTGCGTCTACTATCCTCTTCAGTCACACCAACAGCAGCCAGAAGCTTTTTTAATCGTTCAAAATAATAAAAGAAAATGTTGATAAAAATGTGTCACCGCTACCAAAGGTGTAAAAGTAACTGTTGCTGGAGATGAAAATTGAGCTTAGCAACTCAGCGACCCAGATATTTTATCTGAGGAGGGTGTGGAGACCAAAACAGAGGTAAAAAGGCTCCAAAGGTCAGAGAGATTAAATATGTGTGGACGGGAAAACAGTGGGCAGAAATTTCAGCTTTAAAGTTTAAAGTTTGCAGCTGGCCTTCCAGTAAACCTAAGCTATCGCACGTCGCAGCGCTCGGAATGATAATGTAACACATGGCTAACCACAAATCTCCAAACTGCTACCCATTTAAGTTTGTAAGTGAGCATTTGCATTGTCTTGTGCTGGTGCCATTGTCAGTTGTTTACCTTTTTTACAGATGGGAAAAAATGAAAAGCATTGTTGCAGGTGAGACAAAAATAAACTAAAGCATAACACGTCTGTCAGAGAAGAGCTCTGACTCGCTGTGAGAGGTGTGTGGTGTCAGTGTGATTGGTTCAGGGACAAAGACGGCCTGTCTTAGTCACAGAGGCCAGTCATCTTCATTCTAAAGGTGCCTTCAGATGTTTTACTGTATATGCTGGTTTGTTCTCTCCTGACCAGTAATATCACTGGAATGATGAAGGCTGGTGTAACTTATCACACAGGAAATCACCAGGAAAGTCATGATTATGTCACTACTGGCAAACAGGGGAAAAGTTTACAGAATGGGTCGTGAGGTTTGTTCCCAGCTGTGAAATTTGAAATGTCTCCTGATGCAATCCATATTTAATGCCAGAGCGGTCCAGGCACATCATGGTCCAAAGATCCGAACCTAATGAATGACATCACTCGTCTTATTATCGTTAAACATCAACAGCCAGTTAACCAGTCCCCTGTTTTTAGCACGTATGCGTCGCCATTCTGACCACAACATATCAAGTGCTCTTTAGAATATCTTGGGTTGCCATGGAGTTCTGGGCTTATTTTTAAATGAAGGGCACATAAGTTATAAGTGCCGCTGTTCTGCGAAACATCCCGAAGTATCTAAACTGCATTTTTGGAATTCAAGACCAGGGGCACTGCTACGACTGTAGCTGTGCATGTGTCGGTGACAGCTGTTGTCGAGGCCCCCCAGACACGCAGGAAAGACACCGGCTACTGGCGGAACAAGCTCCGCCTCCTGTTTCTGTTAGTGCACGTGTCATAAAATGAATTAGCCCACATGAACACGAACACACAAGATAGAGGTACAGGTGCATATCGATGCAAGTATAAAGAACGGTATCATGATAAGCAACATTTACAGGGTGCTGAGGTGTCGGTGTCAACGTTTAATCCTGGAACAATGAGATGCTGTTCTGTCATGTGTACCACTGTGTACTCACTGCTAAACTATGTCACCTTGTGCATGAGGAACACCTTAAGTGACATAGAGCTCAAGTGATGTCGTGAGGTGACACACGAATCAATGCTGTTCTGGCGGAGACCCAGCCTCAGCTCAGTTTCAGTTAATCAGAGACTGCATTATTGATTTACACAAAGACTGATCCATTAACAAGCTGGGACTGATTACAGTCACAGATCTGTCTCTTCTGATTGCTCATTCAGCTGACTGAATTTCTACAGTGGCCAAATGTAACTGAGTACATTTACTCAAGTACTGCATTAAAATACATGTTCAGGGTTCTTGTTCTACTTTAGAAACCTTTATGCTTCTGTTATATCTATTTATATATTAGGCCAAGTCTGTGTATGTTTTACATATAAAAAAATTAAAAGTTAGGAAAAAAGCGTTAAAAACAATCCCGAATTGAATCAGCTTTATTTCTATGGCGTAAAATCACAACAACAATGTTATATTGTAAGGTAATACACTGCATGATAATACAGAGAGAACTCCAACAATCAGATGGCCTCCTATGAGCAAGCACTTGGCAACAGTGGGAAGGAAAAACGTCTTTTTAACAGGAAGAATCAAACTCCAGCTCAGCCACTCCATCAGCAGCATGCAACATACATAGTAACACTGCAGGAATGAGAATAACGCACTGCAGTGACTGTGTGACCACAGAGTAGCTTTAAGTGCTTTACTATCAATAACCCACGAAATATCTTTAGAACTCCTTCCATCGGTGAATTTCACAGGCTATCCTGAGAGTGTGCAGGAGTAAAGAGGACTTACAAGCACAGAAATGTTAATGAGCAATCTCTCTGCACCGGGTCTCTCTGTCCTAAGGCAGGACTGGTACCACTGGAAGGCAGGAAGGGAGAGGCTGCGCTGCGGTCTCGAACACTCAAGGAGGAAAGAAAACCCTCGACTCATCAGCGGGAGCTGGCCTTGAAGAGACCGAGGCGCATTTCACATTTTTCTTTTCAGTTTACTGAGACAGGGTGACGTATGGCCTGACAAACAGCGACTGGCAGGAGCCATGTGTCTCCTCCTAAACACTGGTGACTTCATGTGAATGAAATGGAATTCATTTCGGTGTCATTACATCCCATAAATATTCCAGATGAAAGATGTCATCGTGCTGCAGCTTGACGGGCCTAAGCTTCTTAATGCTGAGCAGCGCAGCAGTGAGAGCTGCATGAGGAGGCGAAGGCGGCGCGTGTGGGAGACGTCGGGGGCAAAGGTCGACTGTGTGAATGTGTACGATATCATTCTCATTTCTTTGCAATATCTCAATAAACCACCATGCCCTGCTGTGTTGTGGGTGTTTCCTTCCCACATGCCCACATTCTTTACAGTAAATGGTCTCATTCACACAGTAACAATGTGTAATTTATTGAGAAATGTTTGATTCATGACTTTCTTTTATCCGAACGTGCTGCATTTCCATTATCAGCACAGAGACTAGTCGTGTGTCTGCTCGCACACTAATTAATTCAAAATGTTTAATAGTGTTTTCATTCACATACTGCAGAACAAATGAAGCCAGGAGACTCTTTTGACCAGTGCTCTTTACTGGCTCAATAAAACTGATGACAGCCGAGCAGCAGCAGCACCTGCACTCAGCCGTTTCATTCACTACAGCCTGAAAGCAGAACAGCTGACAAGCTCCACTCTGCTAGAACCGCATGTTTGTCATTGGCTCTTTCCCTCTAAATAGCAGAGATTTTTTTTCTCCAGCATGAGAGATGCAAGAGATGATCACTCACCTGCCGCTCTGATGTTTCCAGAATGTTTAACCAGTTAGTAAACACAGCAAGTAATCCTAGAATCAAAAATAATAAAAGGCAAGAAGGAAATACAGAGTCCACTCGTATCCTCGGGCTTGTGTGGTCCACTGGTGGTGTCTGCTTCCCTGCTCTCTCACTCTCTCCCTGCCTCTCTTCTTTTAGGTCGTCGGGTCAAGAAGGGAATGGTAGAGAGCAATAACAGAGGACTGTAACTTCCCTCTCTCACACACACACACAGATACACACACACACGCCCTCTCTCGCTCCCACAGCCTATCCAGTTCTGTTTCACATAGCAGGCTAGCACACACCTCTCATTTTCTTTCCCTCCTATCCCTTCAAGAAGCCAGTTGATGAGCGGTGCGTGCGTGTGTGTGTGTGTGTGTGTGTGTGTGTGTGTGTGTGTGGAGGGGGGCATGCGCTATTCTCTTCCCGCTCTGTCTGAAAAAGGCCGTTGCCTGGTGAGGTGGACTGTGATGTCCTTTGTCACAGGGCCAGATCTTTTCTCCAAGCCACATCCACCATCGTCCCTCTCTGTGCTTTTTGACCAGAGTCACAAAAGCCAGAAGTATACTTCTATATTTAACTCATCCACTGCTGCCAGCACGGGTGCCACTAGCAGCTGAGGCTAGCTGAATGCTAGATGTTTTGGCCGGCCATTCAGAGAGCCAACTCTCCCCGCTGACCCTCGGTGACAGCTGAACAGTGCTGTGCCATTCTCACAGGCTGGGAAAGTCCAGTGACAGCAGCCACCCAAGCCCTAACAGTGGCCGAGTAACCGCCAATTGCCGTCTTGGGATGGTTGAGCGTGGCCAAACTCTCCAGGACTTTGGCAGCCAGGCTGTCTTTTTGGCCCTGCTTGCAGAAAACAATCTAATTTAGGGAGGCGAGCAGAATCTGAGGTGCGGTAATTGTGCTCTGCATCAATGGGAAGAGCTGCTGCCAGGGTGCTGCTGAGTCAGAGTGAGTATAAACACACCTAACCTTGGTTCACCTACCTGTTTTATATGTGGGGTAGTTCGCTCTCAAGTCCAGCATAAATAAATATATACTGAAAAGCAAAGACAACATCTAGTCCATGTAGTTTAGATCATAACTGATGAGCTCATTACTGCTGGGAACTGTGCATCTTTACTGGTTATAAAAGCCCGGCACCAGTGGCACATTTTCTTGACACGCTGATTTGCGATGATGAAAAAGAATAAGTAAAACATGGCGTAGGATGGAAGGCTTAGAGACAAAGAAATAGGTGAGTCTGAGCTGGTTTGGATCTGGGCAGAGGACATTTAAGGACAGGGATGCCGGAGATGGGGCCAGGCAAGAGGAGAGGAGCAGTACGGATGGAGGAAGATGAAGAGGATGGGAAGAGGAATGCATGATTCCCAACAGGAAGTGAAAATGAAAAGGGCACCTCACTCTAGAATCAAGCACGAAGACAGATGTGACCTGTTGAATGAAAAGGAAATGCCAAAATGAAAGGTGTCTAGCAGCTCTTCTAACTCTGCACTGAACTTTAAAACTTTGTCTTAACTGTAAAATATCTAAGCAGTAAAACTATATTTAAATATTTGCAAAATATCATCGTCTCTCCTTTCAAAACAGTACATCACATCAAGGACATAATGGTTCCTTTTCAATGCTACAGTTCATCACGGCTCATACAGATGGTTTTGTAATATCTTGCCAGCAGTAGTCCAGTATATGCTCTCAGATTTGACATCATATACACTAATGTAAGGAGCATAAACTGTCCTTTATTCTGCATGCGTGTAAATTATGATAATGTAAACAGTGAAGTGAAAGCACTTTGCATGTGGCCCATGGCAGAGATCAGCAGTGAGTGATGGTAATGCTCCGAAACATAAACCCAGAGCTCCTCTGCTTTCTTGTCTGACCAGGACAGAAAGATTTCAAATCACAGTTACGGGTGATGCACAAGGAGTCATGGCGGTCTGCGTCTTTCTGTTACTAAAGTGAAAGTCCTGTCTGGTCACCAAGGAGCAGGGCTCGGTGCACATAATGACGCTCTTATCTCTATGTGGAAACCAAAGCAAACAAAAGAGGCAGCGGCGAACAGACTCACGTACTCCCTGAGGAGTTATGTCAGATGGACACTGATGCATTCACTCCCTGTTTGTCAGAGCAGTTGCGTTCAGGAGTAGCAGTTGCTGGATTATCTGGGCGTGGTGCTGATGTCATGTTTTGTTCCATAAAGTGAAACCTTGCTGCAGCGGACATAAACCCATGCATACACTTCTCTGCTTCTTCAGATTCCTTTACTTCTGTTGTCATGAATCATTTCTCCAGGCGGCCTATCTGAAGATGCAAAATCACCTTAACGTGCACGCGCTCTGCAGCTAACCCAAAGCTTTGAACTTTTTCTCATCCTTATTTGTGACAATCAGCATGAATGAGCGCAAAGAAAAACAAAGCCCATTTGTTTGACAGGCCTCTTCCTCCTCACATATGAAGTCATTCCTCTCCGTGTGGTATCGGAGAAGAAGCTCTAGCCAAACTGAGGTCATGAGAAGGTTATTTTGATTGGATGCCATAATTCCCACACCCAGAATGAAGTCATGTGGTGGGATTCTGTGAGGAAGAGGTTTGTTATGATTTCAATCTGTACACAGAATGCCCGGAGGACGGTGGGCCCGTCAGGGCGCTTTGGGCTGTGGTTGTTATGAAACATGTGGGCTGGTGGAAGGAGCTGCCATTCCTGTACGATGTGATCAGAGCGAATCGCACTCATGTCTGATAAATACAAGATGGGTGATAAAATTTTGCTATAAGATGTCAGCTCCATGACCCAGGTGGAAGCAAAAGTCTTGGTTTGAGGTTTAATCGAGGGAAACGTAGGCAGAGAAGATAACATGACATCTGCACTGTATGATGTTACATACCAGACTCTATTATGTAAGTCTTTCATATCTCCATTTTTCACGCCGGTCTTTCCCATCCAACGGTCACGGCTGTCTTCACATCACTCCACCAGCATTAGCGAGTCTCTCTTCACTTCTACTTCTTCTGATCAGCCGTCACCTGGGCTCTCCCGGGTCGTTTTTAGGTTTGGCCTCGCTGAAGGATGCTGATGAGCTGTCCAAGCAAAGTGTGATTAGGCTAAACTGAGAAAACAGAGAAAGTTGTATTCTGGGCCTGAAGCCATGAAGGGACTGAAGATGTTTTTAGATGAAGGGATGAAAAGACAAAGAGAATGGCACTGATGTGCAAACCTAAGGGACGGGAAATGCACCAGTCCTGCTTGAAAGCATTTTGAAAAATTGTAAAATAATCTACAAGACATTTTGTAACACAGCTGTGGCTCAGTTATTCAACACTGCCTGGTATAAGGTGACCGAGAGTTCCACTTTAGGCAGTCATGTGATTTATGCCAAAACTTTAATCTGCATAGTTTTTTGTTTAAGCTTTCAGGAATGCATTCAAATGACCACAGTGTAAGAAAAAAGCTGATGGTTTCTGCATGATCCAAAAAGTGTTGCCTGAAGATTTGAATGACCTGTGGCAACACGGAAAGTGAACCTGGAACGCTTAGAACAGGTGAAATTCCAAGAGAAAGCTTCCAGAGCTACAATAAAAAATATTTTGCCAACTGTGTTTGTGCATAAAATTAAAAACATTTGTTAGCGTACTGCTACCTGACACATGCACATGAGTAGGCTGCTGGAGGTCACTTCATGGAGCTCTGGTTCCATGTGCTCCTCCTGTTGCCAGGTTATTGGCCTTCTACGGCCCTGTCCAGCTCTCTTCCTGATATCCTCCACACTATTGTGACTGTGCTGTGAGACACAACAAATCTTACAACAACACAGATGGATGTACGGAGAGGTAATTCCATGGAGTTCTGGCAGTGCCTCCTGTTTCTCCTCACACAAAAGAGCAGATAGCAGTCATGCTGCCGGGTCGATGGCCTTCTACAGCCCCGTGCAGCTTCCTATGGTCTGTGGCCTCCATCTGCCAAATCCCTCCCTTTCTGCAGGTTGTCTTGTTGCTGCCTCTTTGGTGCACCTGTTGCCACTTTCATTTACACCAAAGCACATGAAGGTTTCTGCTTCCTAACTGAACAGATTAACATCCCTGAAGTTTAGCTGACTTTGAGTGTTATCTTCATTTTAATTCAATTTGATTGGTTTGGTTTAGGAAGACAATCTTTGTTAGCTGCTACTTGCTAAAAGTTTTAAAACATAACCCTTTATAACATAACAGATTGTTGATCCTTGAGTTTTTGAAATGATTAAACTAAATATGTCTGACAGACCAGCTGAGCCCCTTTGTCTCTAAGCTAACGGGTATTTAGCTGTAGGTACATGTAACAAGAAAGCAAATACATTTACCTTCCAAAATAGCTGCTTTACTCACTGCCACCAATCAAAGACAAACCTCAGTTATTTGTTAAAGGATATATAATCAGATTAACTTTCCTGCAATGACAAGCAAGCTTTCAGTATTTGAATTCACGTAGGAAACCTTTTTACAGTAAGACTGCTCACCAAACATCTTATGGTAAATTATCCAGAAAGGGCCAGCACGTCTCAGGATACCACAAAAATACCACACCACATGTATCCCAGGATCACATTCATCACCACAGGAATTCCTCTGCTGAAGTACAGCTACCTCTTTCATGTGGTGCTGTATCACAGGAATTCCAGTACGGCCGATGTTTGGTCTGTCTGTGTAAAGTCTGTTTGTATTTTTCGCTTCCAAACACAGAAATTGTGACCTGGCATAGAAATGATAAATGTAACATAATTTTTCTTTCATAAGAACAATGAAAATGACATCACGCTGCTGTTTGAGTCAAACTACTCATCAAAAGACTTCTAGAGCAATTTGAAGGTGGTTTACTGTAAGCTTGGATGTAGATCATGTTTGACACCAAATTTCAGCTCAGTAAAAATGAAACAACATAAACAGAAAATCAGTCACAGGCGTCACCTTTGCCAAAAACTGGCATTCATGCAGTCTCAGACCAAAGCGACTCTTTAATTTAAATTAAAAAAGTAATAGTAAGACCATGGCACTCAGTGGAATCCAGTGTTGCCATGATAAACAGGGTATTCATAAGAGCGTGCATCTGGTTTCACTTTTTGGGCTTTTAACCCTGCTGAACTTGTTACATCACCCGTAACACATCCAGATAAATATAGGG